TATCGTCTCTTTGAGGCAAATTCTAAGCTTTTAGGATTTTGGTTATCTTTATAGAAGCATCAGTTTCAACATATGAGAACTCCATTTTATTAAGTCTGAAAATGGCTAGGATAGACTATTCATAACTATATTGTCTTTGCACCATGAAGGGGGAATAACTCACTGCACCCCAAAAGCCTAAGAGAGAAACTCAAAGCTTATCTTCACAACCATATAACATTGGTCAATAAGGCATCCAAAGAGCTCTCCATATCACATCTTGGCTAGTGAGCTTACGTAGAAATAAGATCCATGTTTCCTTGGATTTTGGTGTAGGCCATTCATTTTCATAAAATTCTTTAATGGGTTTTGCTTATAGTGAAATATGGCTTGCAAAATTTATCACCATTATTTTTTATATGACTTTTCATCCAAATGGTTAACAATTAAATGCATTCAGTAAAACACCCTTATCCATTTTGATGACAATGATTTAAAGATCTAATAGTCTCAGCCAAAATTATAGGAATAAGGTTGATTTTGTAACCAAGTTGATCAAAGAAATCTACCATTGCAACATCAATATAGTCAATTACTTTTGAAAATACCATCATCTTATTTAGAGCCAATGCCATCAACTCCATTCCTGTTTCAGTGTCAAAATATTTGTATATAAAGTCACGAAAAATGGACTAAGGAATACCAACACTTTCACTTTTTCCCTTTACCTAATTATCAACAGTTTGGATATCTATGACATCATTTGAGCAAGCTTTTTCAATAATCAATCTTTTTATTTTTCCAATATACCTTAGTAGGATTAGGGAGATTCACGCGAAGAAGAGTTAAATATTCTTCAATCATTGGCACCATGTCAACCTCAGTGAACACAAAGCAATGATATGAAGGGTCTCAAAACTAAACCATGGCCCTAATAAGTTGATCATCAATAGGGACTGAAAGAAGCAATGCAAGGTTCCCAAACTTCTTTTAGAAAGTCTTTTTAATAGTGACACTCTATTGGTTTAAATATCAACCAAATCGCTAAAATAATTTCATTTGAGATTGAGATGGATTTTAACGAGCAGAGTAGTTACATAATTGACTGACCAAAAATCATCTCCTTTAAGCTGAGCTTCCTCGAACTTCATTCTCAGGCACATAGGGAACTTTGATAGGCTCTCTATAAATGTAATTAAGATTTTTTTTTGTTAAGATTATTATGTAGCAATTACTCTTTCTATAAATCTCAATAATGCATGCATGCACAATAAAGTAGAAAGAGAAAAAAAGGTTAGTAATCATATTATAATATATACAAAGAATAACAACTTATAAAGGTTAGTATGCAAAAATATATACAAGGAATAACATAAATTTACAAGAATAATAATTGTCCCATTAAGTGTCCTATTTAGGGTTTTTTTTTCTCCAATTAAAGGGAGAGAAGGGCTTTAGCCTAGGTTTGAATCTTTAGGGTTTATGTACAAACTAGGTTTAAAGGCTTGACAATCTAAAGGCTTCTAAACTGTTCCCCACATTGTCATCTATTATAGACTAGTAAGGCACCCAAATCCTTGACCACCAATATAGGCTCCAATGAAAAGGGTTCAATTTGAATGGGAGTTCTTGCTAGCTTACACAAAAGTTATCACCTCAAGAGAGTGCAGGTGCTTACTCCCTCTTAATAAAAGATAAAGCCTAGGTATAAAGCTTATGCATGAATGCAAGTATGATATGTATAAAGGGACATGCTAAGTAATCAAATAGATAGGTGTGAATAAAAAATAATATTTGCAAAACAAACAAATAAGAAATCATAAACAAATAGGTTAGTATACATAAAAATCATAAATAATTACATAATAAAAACTATCAAAGTCAGGCTTAATATAACACATAACTAACTAATGGCTTGAATCTCTAATGTCCCCAATGGAGTCGCCAAACTGTCATAACGTATAGGTTGAGAAAACCTACCCATTAGACATAAAAATCATTGAATCACCATCAATCTTTTTCAGCTAGTTGTGATCAGCCACCTATATGGATTTATCCTTTTTATGGTTATCATAAGCCTAAGTTGCGGATTCCTAAAAAAGAATAGATTTTGGTCTACATCAACAGAACTAAGGTTTAAGAGTTGATTACGTGCAGGGAAAGTATTAGTACCCCTTTACGCCTAAAGCTAGTCCCAAGTTAATTATGTGTTATCTTACCTAAACCTTATCAAAGATAGTTTTATCATGCAAATAAATCAATTCCAATCCTTTTATTTATTTACAAAAATGGTGATACAAAAATTCTATCAAAATATCAAGCAATCATGCAATAATGCAATAAATATTAAATCATACCATGCAAAAATTGTCATGCAAATATAATACTATAAATTATACCAAATATCATGTAATAATATCATGCTAGGTCATGCTAAAATATTCATGCAAGAATGTCATGCAAAAATATATTAATTATCATGCCATAATATAAAATACTATGCAAATATATTAATAGCCATTCATGCATTTATATAATTATGAAATCAAATATAATCACACAAATATATTAGTAATTATGCAATTAAATATAATCATGCAAATAAACATGCAATTAAATATATAATCATGCAATCATGTAAATAATAATATATAAACCATGCAAAATATTCAATTAAATATATAATCATGCTAATAAACATACAATTAAATATATAATCATGCAAATAAATATATTAATAATCAAGCAATTAAATATATTAACAACCATGCAATCAAATTAAATATAATCATATAAATAAATATATTAATAATCATGCAAATATGTTAATAAATCACCCAAAGAAATATATTAATCATGCAAACAAATATATTAGGAGCATAAATTATCATGCAAATATAATATTAGTCATGCAAATTCATGCAAAAATAAATACCATGCAATAAATATAAAAATAAGAGTAAGTAATTAAATATTATAAAACTTATGCAAAAATCACAAAAAAAAGGAAAAATGAAAGCAAATATTACCTCGATGAGTTCCAACTTTCACCTTTCAAAAATTGATACTTCCTACTATAAATCGTAGCTTCCTTTCCAAAAACTCCAACTGGATCTTATTGCAAAATTTTTTGCTTGATTGCTTCTTCCTTGTTAATTCAAAACTTTGCCCAAATTTTTTCTCTTTTCAATGACCTTTGTTTGATCTTGAAGTCAATTGCTATGAGGCCTCTCCTTTTGATTATAGATTCAAGATCTTTATACAAATTGAATCTCTTTCGATTTGGAAGAAATTAATTCAACCCAATCTAAGATTTTTTTTCAATTTTTATTCTTCATGTAATCTTTCATTTTTCAATAGATTGAGTCCTAAATCTTTTCAAAATTATTTAACCATTAAAGTTAAAATCTGAGATAGAATCCAAGAGTTGAATTGAATCCAAAATTTTTCATATAAAATCTCACATTTTTTTTATTTTTTTACTCCTTTTTTTTTTTACTAATTGACTTTGGCTTTTTGACTAAAAAAATAAAAATAAAACCAAAAATTAAACTAAAAAAATTAAAATACAAATAAAATTTAAGATTTAATCTTTGGGTCAAAAATTTATTTTTTAATTAAAACCCAATTGCATAATCAAAATTAAAATTTGAAACCTAATGAATTTGAAAAAATCTCTGAACGAAATAGGATGTCTACATATATAAAGAAAAAAATCAAGAATAAAATCATTATTAAATATAATACTAAGATATAAAATCAACTACGGGAAACTTTTTTAATTGAATTCACACAATTACCATCCATACCAGGCATATGTTAATGTTTTTTGTTTTTTTTTTAATGAAATTACATATACATGCAAAATTACAATCAAATGAAGTATTTATTAATGCATATAATACTACTATTACATTCAAGAAGAAATCAATAAAAAAAATAAATAATATCATGAGTACACAGTGTTTTGATTTTGACATTTAAAGATTCTAAGGTCTCTGCTTTGTCATTAGAAACAGACTTTCATTGGCGCATAATAATCAGTTTAATATTTGAAGCAATTGACATGTGATCAGAAAAAGAAATAAATGACAGGGGCTCCTAAATATACTATAATTTTTTTTAAATACTCAAATAGTAAAATATTAATTTTAATTTTTTAATAAATGATAAAAATACTTTCAATAGCTTAGATATCTTAAAAATTTTTTTTATAAATCTAAAAAATATATATTTATTTTCGAAAATCTTCAAAACTTTTCATATATTTATTTTCAAAAAGTTCGATTTCAAAATATGAAGAGAAAAGAAAAGAAAAATGATAACAATAAAAAATAAAAAATTAGAGATGAAATATATTTAGTAAAAATAAAAAAATTAAATTTTAAAATTGAGATGTATTTAAAAATAAAATATATAAAATAATAAATTAGATGTAAATAAAACTTCCCAATGACATGATAGGTTATGGCAAAAGACATGCTTTGTTACAAAATGGGCTGGGCTAGCAGCAACAGCCTTGGGTGTGTAGTTGATGAAACTTAATAAAAGTCCAATGGCCGAGTATACTCTTCTAACCTAAATATTTGTGATAACTTTATTTTTATTTTTATACACAGGAAATTAAGATCTAAGAGGAGTTAGGAAAGAAAATTTTACAAATGTAGGGGATCAGATTTTGTCCAAAAAAATCGAGACCAAAAAATAGTAGGATTCCTTAAATATCAAAAGTTGAAAGTAATATGACAAAAAAAATCTGCAAAATTATTCCTCAATGCTTTTGTTAATACTAATTAAAGGATTAATTCCCCATTTCAAACACTACAAAAATAATTACAAAGTTCATCTAAATATGGAAAAATGAATATTACATGATTTGTTTTATAGAATATGAACATTTATAGGCAGTATAATTATGTTATTGAAAATTATCGATAATACTGGAAATTTTATTTTTGAAGAGATTTATTTAACAGCACTTGGTCTATATTTGTGATTGAAGTACTAGAATGACAAAATGCTCATAAAGGAGGAGCATGATTAATAAGCAAAGAGGGTACAAAGTCTTTAAGGATCACTCCAGTATGAGTATAACCATCTTTAGTCTTGTAAACAACATCGATTACACGAGAAAGATTTAGAATCCGAGTGAGGAGTGAGATGGAGACAATGGTTGGATGGAGACATTCTTCATTTATATCTTTCCAAGCTTTAGTAATTTGTTCACGAAATTCCTTGACAGCTTCCAGTTCTGTTGCATCATGCTGTTTCATGTAACATTCAATGGCTGAAGCCACATGTCCTCTCTTTTGCTCAAACTGCTTCAGGAAAATCATCAAGATCAGGTGCAAGGGATAGGAGCACTTGATTATATAAAATTGGAAAGGTTATTGTATTTGAAATTAGTAAGTTTTCAAAACTCTTTTCTATTTTTATAACCACACAAACTTGAAAATAAGCCTAAATTAAATTGGCTCACAAATATTGTCAAGTTCTGTCCATAAATATAGAAAAGCAAGTATTAAGATCAGTTTCATACCACATGACATCCCATAGCCATTTTGTCGAAGCAGACGAAATTTGAGAGAAATGGTATAAAGGTTCTCATCATTGACCCCAATATCACAATCATTGTAGGCGAAATGCGGTACTTGGTTAATCTCTTTTTCAAAATGATAACAAACTCCAAGGCCTTGGATTGCATCAATCAACTTAAGCATTTCCAAAGGTTTATCAACCTGATCAGTCATTAGCATCTTCTGTAATTCATTCTTCAGCTTCTGATGCTCTTCCTTCTTATCATGATCTTCCTCCTATATGAGAAAACAATGAAAATTAAGTACTTTTATATATGGAATGTAATTAAACTGTATATACAAAGATTAATCCATTATTGAAATTACCATAATGTTTGAGGCATATGAGAGAAAATGGTCACCCCAGATGCTGGATGAAAACCTATCGACCGACAATTAAGTACAGGCAGTTCAGCATTTTGGATTGGAGCAGAAAGAGTTGCTGCTAAAACTTCATTAATAGACGTTTTTAAAAACTGTTTTAAAGGATATAAAAATAAAATTTTGAGTACAATAGATATGAAGGTGCGGGTTTAGTGCACTTTGGTGCTTCAAGAAGATTTCTTGCATTGGTATTTAGTGCACTAAGCTGGTCAATTCACACCCTTTCCTCTCATATATAAGGTAAAAAATAGACTTAGGTACGATAAGAACTAACAAACCCATCTCCCTTAAGCTTCTTCAGTACTCTTGATAGCATACCTTCTTCCTCATAAAAATCCTAAACACTTGACTGACTTAAGCATCAAAACACATCTTAAAAATCCAACTCTGATATCCCCTGACCATATTTTCTTGTTGCAGGTTCAAGTCATTCCTCACGCAACCTCCAAGTCACCACTTATCTTACTGACACCCCAAAACAACATCAATACAAAAATAAATAAATAAATAAAATATACATAATCCATCCCATTTTTCTCGTGGATGTTTCTTTCTTTATGATCCAAATCACTGTCTTCTTTTCTTTATTCCTAAATAAAAGGTTTTAAAATGATTTTTGTAAAATATAAAAAAATAAAAGGATTATTTTAAATATTAATATTAAGATCACTTTTATCAAAACAAAAGGATAACATGGGATTAATAGGTATCATTTTTAAAATAGATACTGCATGGGTGTTAATCCTTTCTCACCCATAACTAAACTCTTAAACCAAAATTTTTTTTAACAAACCAAACAAAAAATTATCTTTTCAATAAGTTTTAATTAATTTAAAAATTTTATTAGAAAGATAAGTTTTTTATATAGCCAATTATACCTAACCAAAAAAGATTTGTAGTGATTCCCTTTGTTTTGAACTTTAAAAAAAATTTCATTTAGTGGTCTCAAACATCGTTATGATAGTTTGGCAACTTTGATAGAGACGTTATTATTTTTAGAGAGTTAGAAATTGATTATATGTTATCTTAAGTTTGATTTAATGGTCATTTAACTTTGGTTTCTTTAATTTTGATTTTCTTAAAAAATATTTTGCATTGCATTCGTATTTTGATTGTTTCATTTATTTTATTTTTTATTATTTTTTATATATTATTCTTAATAAATGTTTAGGCATTTAGCATAGGGATTTTAATGTTATAAAGTGTTGGCATGTTCCTTCTCACACGATCACATGTGCATTGCATACATGAGCTTTATACCCAAACTTTTACCCTTTTAAAGGGGAGTGAAGTATATACGCTCTTGTGAGATAAATACCTTCATAATGGCTAGTAAAATATTTCTACTCAAATTAAACAATTTCCATTTAAAGCTTGTAATGGGTGAAGGTTGAGTCCCTTACTTGTTTATAATGGACGATGATATAAAAAGTAGTTTATGAACCTTTAAATGTATAAATCTCGACCCAGCATATAGTAAACCTCAGGGGACCAATGATAGGAAAGCCATACAGATCTTTTTGTATGAATTACCGAATTAGGACACATGAGAAACATTTTGGTACAATTTGTATTTAAGAGGTAATAATAATACAAATAAAACCAAAATTTTGAGAAAAAATAAAAAAAAACAAAAATATTCTTTCAAGAAATTTTTTTTGACATGTAGTTCAATTTGTCTACTGTTTGTCCAAAATTGGCATCTTTAAAACATACTTTTAAAAAGAAAAAGGATTCTCTTTGTATTTTTCAACAAACAAAAGCAAAATTTTTCAAAAGAAAAAGATTTTTCTTAATAAAAAATAGAAATGGGAAAAAAAATCTTTAAATCTTAGTCATTTTATATGCTTTTTTTTCTATAGGATATATTTTCTTAAATTCTTATTTCTTTTTATAAAAAATGGAAAAAAAGGAAATTTTTTATTTTGAATGTTATTTCACACTTTGCATTTCGTTTGATCTTTTTTTCATTCATTTTCATCATGTTTCATATTTAAAAATAATAAGGTTATACATACATTTCATTATATGCACATTTAAATGGTAGTATTAATGTCATTAAATTTGCACAGTACAAGCATTGCATTTTAGGTAAACATATTTTGTCATGCATATAATATATAAGTGCATTTTGTATAAGTATGTTGCACTAGTTATATACATACATCTAATTACACATGTAGTGTGTCATGGCATTTTATGCATATACATTCATAAATGATATGATTCTGATAAAATATTTATTGTACAAATTGCATTTCATGTAAACACCATTCACCAAGACAATACATTTTCTATATATACATTTACAGGTGATGTGATTTTTATCATTTGAGCTTTATACATACGAGAATCAATTGTCTTAAGCATCTTTGTATTCCATGACATTCTTTTGCATCAATTATCATTGTGTCATGTGTAAATACCCTAATTGGTCCGGGCCCAAACCTATCGGGCCTGGTTCAATAAGGTCTAAATATTTAGGCCCAAGTATGTTATTTTATGTTATTTTATTTTTTTATTTGTTTTTCATTTTTAATTTATTATTTGTTTATTTATTTATTTATTATTTTTATTTTGATTATGTTTATCTCTAGTTTTTGGTTGGTTTTTTTATTTGATTTATCTTCAATTTTTTTGTATTATTAAATTAAATGTAAAATGATTAGATAATAGTAAAAAAAGGGATAAGACAGATTCTACCATGGATAGGTGTTGGTAGAATCGTGATTGGTTTTAGTTTCCCTTGTGATAATGTAGAAATCTTATCAATGAGAGAGTTATAGTCAATCAAAAATCCTTTTGATTTGCCCTATAAATACCTCAACATAGAAACACACAAGGACATATCATAAAAACACTGATCATAAAGATTCAAAAAAATACACAAAGGTAAAAAAAATACACAAAAGTAGTAAAAACTTAGTTGGAAGATTTTTAGATTAAAAAAAAATTTTCTAGAAAATTTTTAGTTTTTGATTGAATTTTTTAGCATCGGTTGAATTTTTTGACAAACTTTCCAGAATTCGGTCAAATATTCTAACACTGGTTAAATTTTTTAATGAACTTTCGATGAACTAACCTAGATTTCGATGACATTTTTTAGAATCTGATGAAGATTCAACTGGACTTCTTCAGGGATAGAGAGAGAAACAGAGAAAAAGAAGAAGAGAGAGGGGAAAAGAGAAATCTGAGGAAAAAAAAGAATTTGACCTTTTATACCGATCCTAAAATGATGTCGTTTTCACCTTAAACGATCCCCAGGATCTGCGTGTTTTTATTCGAGTGACTCGACCAAGCGCAACCTGCTCCTACCGACTCATGTTCTAGCCAATCCCTTCAGTCGAGCCGAGCTTCCAAGCTACATCCCTGGAGTCAAATTCTGTATTTGAAATCGAGCTGTGCTAAAGCTCTTGAGCCGAGTCATTTTCGTTTTTGGTATTTTTTTAGTTATTTTATTTATTTATTTTAAAATTTTTTATTAAATTTATTAATGATTAAATTTTGAAAAAATTAAAAAATATATAAAACAAAATAAATATTTTTTTGAGAATAAATAATAATTATCCAATGATGAGATTTTTAAAATTTCAAATGGTAAATTTCTATAAAATTCCTAGGTGAGGAGTTTTGTCTAAATTTATCTCAAATGTTCAAATAATTTAGATAAAATTTCAATAACAATAATTAATATTTATTTTCAAACAAAAAATAATAATAAAATATAAAATATAAAATTTTGGAATTAAATACAAATTATCAAAGTATGAGATTCTTAGAAATTTCAAACAGTGAATTCCTAAAAAAATCTTTAGGTGAGAAATTTTTCTAAATTTATCCTAAATGTTGAAATAATTTAGATGAAATTTCAATAAAAGTAATTGTATTATTTTCCAAATAAAAATTTTAGTTGAAAATATTTGATAATTATCCAATGATAAGAATCTTAGGAATTTCAAATGATAAATTCCAAAGAAATCTCTAGGTGAGAAATTTCTTTAAATTTGTCCCAAATGGTAGAAAAATTTAAATGAAATTTCAAGAAAAATAATTGTTATATTATTTTCTTTCTAAAAAAAAGAGAAATAAAAAAGAATTTCTAAATAAGCCTAAATGATGGAGAATTTAAAAATTTAAAAAGAGAAAATATTTTTGGTTTTGGCCCAAATGATGGATGAATTAGAAATATTTTCAATAAATAAAAATGGTTAAACCTATTTTTCAAACGACGGAGCCTCTTCAAGAAAACAAATGGGATTCTTGAATATTCTTGAAATGAGAAAATATTTTTAAAAATTCTACCAGATTGATGGAAGATCTTAAAAATTATTTCTAATATTTAAACATTAAAACTTAAAACCATTAGAATCAAAACCTTAGGAGAAATTTAAAATAAAATGGTACCATATTTTTTATGGGCATGTGGGGGTGCTATAACATTTCCTATATATAATTAAACTCTTAAATCTTGTTTTGGTTTGTATACTCGAACCTATTCTGTTAGGGACTCTTAGTCAAGCTTAGGAGCTCCTTAAAAGGATAGATTCTTTAGGTGGCCAATCACACCTGGTAAAAAAATATTGATGGCAACTTTATTTGTTAAGTCTAGCTATAGATTTTCATATCTATATGTTATGACAATTTGGTGACTCTATTGGGGAAGCTATAGAGAGTCAGGCCATAATATTTCAAATATATCCTATCATCTGATTTAATGGTTTTAAATTGTAATTATTTGTTTACTAACATTTACCTTTTTTGTTTCTCATTTGATTTATCGGGTTGACAATTATGTGTTCCTTTACACACATTATCACATGTGTTCTCATTAAATGAGATCTATGCCTAGGCTCTGTCCTTTTTAGGAGGGATTAAAATACCTATACGCTCTTATGAGATGATAATCTTCGAATGGCTAGTGAAATATTTTCACTCAAATTGAATCTTTTTCATTGGTAGCTTGTGATGGGTAAGGATTGAAATGCCTTACTAGGCTGC